AGCCTCTACAGAGAAAAGAAGCAACGTCCCTTGGCTGCCTTAGAAAACTGTAAAGTTGAATTGAAATCAGCAGAGGCATGCAGATAATTTGAAAAATCAAGTAAAATACAGACATTTGACCTTCAGGAAGTAACAGAAACAAACAAAAAAATTCCCAGGTGTCTGAAAATTCATTTCTGCTAGCCTAAATTCTGTCCCAGTTTGGAACTGAATAACCTCATGGTTTTCATCAATTCTTCATTGGCATAGCTGACAGCAAGTGCATCCTTTTGCCTTTTTTGCCTTCAAGAGAAAAACTGCTTTCGTACCTGGCTAATTAGAGTGCAGAGGACATTTCTTGCTTTAGTTTTGAAGGGATGGAAGACAACTGGAGAGTTATTCTCTTTGTATGTAGGATAGCAGACCTATCTAGCATTTATCTGAAGCAGTAATGAACCCTGATCTCTTCAATCACATAATCCAGAGAAAATTATTTCTGATCTCAAAGAACAACTTCCAAATGATAAAGTCAGCTGCAGAAGACCTGTTTTAAACTGATTTGCCTTCGATATATAATGTCTTTCAGTCTGAAAGGGATCCTTTTTCCTTTAAAAAAAGTAAATTCAATTTTATTCTGGCTTGTACAATTTATTTTCTTAGTAGTTGGTTACTAAGTCGTCATAAAAGTAAGACTGCCATCAGTAGACCTGCAAATGGAAACTTAAAAGAAATAGCATCAACTCCATCATGTGGACTTTAAACAAATTATGGCCTTTAGTTTTTATAAGTATGTATTTTACACAATCAATAGAAACAAAGCAGTCCACCAAACAGATTCAAAGAAACAGATTTGGAACCATAATAAAAACTGAGGCTGCAGAAATGACCTGTAGACAGCAGTGACCCAGTAGCAATACTTAGATAGAAATTATATTTTGGAGAGTACAGTCCCATCTTTTACTCCTAAAAGAGGGAACGATCCAAATGATGGTCGTGGTTACAGCAGCAAAGGCAGTGACTGAAGCAGAGTGAAAGCAAGCACAAAGATTTGGTGGGGGTGGGAAAATCGGCATTGCTCAATTGAAATTGCATTCCTCAATTGAAATTGCCTGTTCTTTCCATATGTGCAAGAAGTTTTCCTCCTAAAGCCTCCTCCCAATGCCTCTTTCCCCTGTTTGTGGCTCAACACAGTCAAATTTTACATTATAAAATCAGAAAGGCACATAAACTCACTGACTTGCATTCAAGATATTGCAAATTTCCTTCACTGCCATCTGACTAGATAAAAATACTGTGTTCTAAGACTTGTGTGTGTAATATGATTAAAAAAAGAAAACTTTGATTCAACTCAAACTTGGAGGACTGTCATCCAAGACAATCACTGTCATAGAAAGCCAGGATTTTCATAAAATTTAAACATTTGTTACTAGGGTCAGCTTAGGGTTATTGCTCATATCTCTATTAGCTGGACATGTTGTGGCACACACATATGGCTCTATATCTGAGCCAGAATTTAGGAATAGAATGAAAACCAGCCCCAATTATAAAAAATAGTACATATTCTCAGAAATATTAATCAGGGCAATATTCAACAACAGGTGATTCACCACACAATTCCATAGTTTGATAAACACATGCTGACCACAACATCCTGATACAAAAGTTCTACTTATAACAACAATGTCAATACCCATCATATGAAAGTCCTACAGAAAAATGTATCTGGAAGGATCAAAATTCAGATGTAAATAATAATCTTAGAAAAACAAGGATTTAGCGTTCAGTCTAAACATGTTAGATCTTAATGTGTTGTACCTTGTTCCTGAGAGCTGGTGAAGATCTTTGCTTTCATTCCTTTTCCTCTTTAAACAGCCTAGATAACAGTCTGTTCTCAAGCTTGGAAAGTGATTATTATAACACAGGTTAGTTCTCTCTGAAACTCCATGAGATGAAGGTCTTGGAGTGCTCCTGTAACACATCAAACAAAAGATCCATTAGAGAAAACATAGTTGCACTCTCACAAAAGATCTCAGCGCTAAATGACTTTCCTAGCTTCTGAATGTTGTGAAGCACCTGTCTTGGGCTAAACCTTTGATTGTCTCTTTGGCAACCCAGTGTCAGCTCTGTTACCCAGTCCTTGAGTTACTGCATTGTAACATTTCTGAAGCATCCTACGTTGTCCCTTGTGTGTAGAATACAAATGAAGATGGATTAATGCTATTAAGCATCATGTTAAAATACTCCATATTTGTAGAAACAGAAAGGTCAAGAGATCACATTATGTGTCATCCTCTACCTGTTTCTTCACAGGCTCTTGGAGGAGCCCAAAAAGAACGAGAAAGAGGCTTTTATCATTACTCTGGGCACATCTGAGTTTTCCTTCATGAACAAGACCTTATACATTGAAAAGTTCAGTTGTGCCATTGTTGTAAGAGCACCATCAGCTCTGTGACAATTTGTGTGCAGGCCACTCATTCGCACAATAGCACACAGCATCTGATTTATGTTAAATAAGGCACAGAGAGGTTGCTGTGATGAATGATAGAGGTTGCAGTTCTATTTTCACCTTGATTTTGTGTAAATTGAGATAAACACTTGTACGATAAATCTTACTGGAATAGCTGAAAAATTTAAGAGACCATATTATGCCTGATGTTATGCTTGGATTTATATATCTTTATGCATACATTATGTATTTTGTTGTAGGATAAGTATGTTAACTGTTCAGGTATAGAAATAATAGATTTATTAGGGGGATATAAGGCCATATATTCCTTTTCGGTATGTCATTAATGCCTATGTAGTGAAGAAGCAATCACCCATCAATGACATGATCACAGTTTGCCTTTAATATAGGCACCCTTTCGCAAAAAAAACCCCACCAACGCAAATATCAGCCTGTGATTATCCTTTGTGTTTACCTTGCATGCTTGCTCTCACAAGAGGAGTCATACCTTTTACTGCTATCATATGAATGCTGTGGAATATCTAAACAGTGAAAGGTAATTAGCACATTTCATCTGTGAGTATGAAAGTTTGATAACTCACAGGCATCACAAGTCTGTGAATTATTAAGGACAGTTGTGAAGAAAAAAAAACACTTTTAACTCATTAAATATTCAATTTTCTTTATGAGAAATATTTTTTTATTGATCACCTTTCCAGTAATAGCAGGCAGCTAATCTATATCACTCATAGGAAATTTTTGTCCATGCGTAAGGCAATTTTTTTTCAGCTGCCTCATATTTCAGTTTTTGCAGATATAGAATACAGAAAAGAGAGAGACATCTATACATTTAAGGCCCTGAAGGTACTGGATTTTATTAAGATCTCAACTTTAATCACTTAAATTAGAGGCAAACAACTAGTCCTAACTCATTTCAGCTAGCCTACACAAGCCAACACTGAAGAGCAACTTTAAACTAGTTTGGGGAGCTGTCAAAGCACTTCAGCCATCTTATTAGGGTGCTAACTCTGAGGACATGCCTATACCATGTAAATAAGGGCAAAGCAGAAAAAAAGGTCTCTCGCTGCACGATCGTGCTCTGGCACTGGAAGCAGTACAGCTGTGTTACTGCAGCCTGTTGGGCTAATTAGTTTTCTCTTTCGATGCTGAGGAAAGAAGGCAATTAACCGGGCTAAGCATCACATTAACACAGCAATAGTGCTTCTGGGGCCTGAGCTAGTACCTCTGTACACGCTCTTTTGTTTGGACCAAGAGGTTACTTGGAGCCACTTTGGGGGTCTCAAACGCTGCATTGTGTTTGACAGGGATACCTGAAAAGTGAGGTTTTCTGTGACAACAAAGCCGAGCTAACGGCTAGCTGCAATGCCGAAAAGAATGCTCCCCCCGGAGAAAATTACAGCATTATCTTCTGTTTTTCTGGCAGGGAAATAACCTGGAGAAATCAGCAGATTTCGGTGGTTAACAGAGCCACTGTGTCAGGACGGACGAGCACCACAGCTGAACAAGACGATGGGAACACATGTGAGCTGGAAAAGGAGGACGCAGGAATGTTCCTTGTGGTGACAGCTGCCTTTTAGGTGAGATTAATGATAATTATAAAATTAATTATGTATTTCTCCCTGCCGGCAGCGCGAGACGCCTCATGGAAACGATAATTCCCATGATGCACCGGTGCGGCAGGGCGGGCTCGGGGCGGAACCAATCAGGCAGGGCGTGGTGAAGGCGATAGCCAATGGGGGAGCAGGCTGACGGCGGTTGGAGTTTGAATTTTGAAGGTGGCTGAGGCAGGGCTGTTGCTACGGTGTGGTGTTCGCGCGCTTGGTGCGTGTGGCTGTGGGCTTTGGCGGGCGCTGCGGGCTGAGGGGAGCTTTCCTCTTCCCTCCAGCCACTGCCAGGGGAGCTTTTTACCCCGGCGTGAGGCAAGAGGGGCTGGGGGTTGCGTCCCGAGGACGAACCGCCATTCTGGAGCTGCGTAGCAAACGGTTTCTCCTTTCTTTGTGCTAGCGGGGAGCCTGCTCTCTCGCGGTGGGGGAGAGTCTCCGCCGCGTCCCTCGTCCCCTCCGGGCGTTGCCTCATCTCCGGGAGGCCGGGGTCGAGGCTCGTCTATGCTACCAGCCCGCTACGGCTACGCGTAGGTGAAGAGCCCGAGGGGCCCGACTCAGTTTACGGTGCTGCCGAGGCTCCCCTCGGCCGGAGTCCGCCGCTCGCCTGCCTCGGAGAGGGTGGTAATCTCGGGGGAAGGAAGGGAGCACGCAGGTGGGGAGGGAAACGGCTTAATTTTAGCAGCCTTTCCTGCTAACGTCACCTGCCTGAGGCTCTTGATTGTAAAGAAATGCTTAGCTCTTGTTTCATATAATTACCATGGAGGGGAATTAAACGCCCAATTCCCTCTAAAAGTTGGGGACGTAAACGGTGTGCTTATGGCTACACAGAAAGGGTGTGGTGATGACTCGGCTAATGACAGCCAGATCTGTCAGGTTTCCGGTTAGTATCCAACCTAATGAATCAATTCCTTATTGGTTTTCTTAACGCAGAATTTCCACGAGAGGCTATCATGTCACAGGACTGCAACGATGAGTGGGAGCTGAGCAAAGAGAACGTGCAGCCCCTCCGGCAGGGGCGTGTCATGTCCACCTTGCAGGAAGCACTGGCTCAGCAGGACACCTCCATTCACACTGCTGTTCAGCTCAAAAAACAGTGAGCAATGTTTTGACACCTTCTTTTCCCTTATCTTCCTGCCTTCTTATCAGTTTTTCTATGTCTTATTTAACAGCACTAATCTCATAGGCATTTAAAAAAGCATAAAAGAACAGAAGTTTAGTAACTGATGTCTATGCTACTATCACACTCCATGTATTTAGGACTACTTGCTGTGGGTGCTGTGCAGTATAGACTACTATTTTTAGCTTTGCAATGGAGTATTTAAACAGCAAACACTGGGGAGATGCAGTTGTGCTTTTAAATATACTCATTACGAAAAATACATATGGGTTACAAAGATGAGAGCTTTTTTTGACTTTCCTACAATAATCTATTGAAGCAGGGTATTTCTTAGGAGATAAATACTTCCTACTATCATAATGTAGGCACAATACAGCTATCTCTGTATGTCTTCCCTGAATCACAAAGACACCTGAGTATTTTTGTGGAAAGCAATGGAGTTGTTGTTATACTGGGCTCTGCAAGAGGGTTTGTCCAACTTGACTCATTACGTTTGTGAGGTGTTACAGTTGAACAAAGCCTTCCAAGAACAAGGCACTGCCTGGGGAGCTCTACAAGATATGGACTTGATCTCAAAGGTCTTTTCCAACCTAAATGATTCTGTAGGTTAACGCCACTGCTAAACACAAGCTAATGTTCTTGTCTAACTCAAGCTGCAAGGTGGTTTTCTTTCTTTATGTGCTGCCTTGAGGGTGAAGTCATGTTGTAGGGATGAAATGATGCATAGGAGTTGAAGAATGAGACAAGGTGATGACTGTCAGTGTGGCCACTTAGATGTATCTTCACTGCGCTCTCTGGTGCAGTTTTGTAGTTGATCATCAGGCTTTTCCATCATCTTGTGTATTCCAACCGCCTCCTATACTTAAATAAGGGACGTTTCATGCAAAAATTAAAGTTCACAATATATCTTTCTGCTAATAACTCTTCATAACAGAACAAACATTCTGTCAAGGGATACCATATAAGCTTTGGGGTAGACATTCTTGGAAATATGCTTTGGAAAGATGTATATTTGTTCTTGTTAAATAATGATACATATCCCAGCGCTTTCAGTTTGAAGAAGAGTGCAAAAGCTTATTTTTTTTTTTATTCTTCTGGTCTCAGTAAATGCTCAAGTCTAAATATATGTTAACCTAGCCTTTTTTTAAATAGACCTACAAAATGGTATAAGTGAGAGTGAAAGTCTTAGTTTACAGTGTGGAAAACATCTTTACAGTTATACACATGTATTTATTGGATGGATAATTTTTTTTTTTTTTAGGGAGTTTGAATCAGAAATCCGATTTTACTCTGGAGATGATCCACTGGATGTCTGGGACCGGTAAGTTTCCTTTTATCTCAGAAGAAAGAATAGAAAGATATCCTTGTAAAAGTTGGGGGAAAATATTCTAATTTAATAAAAAACTCAATAAAAGATAAATTCTATAACAGTTTTTTGAATAATATGTTGTGTTTCAATATTATGCCAAAGTTTGTTTTTTCTAGATCGCCTTACATTGTACAGAAACAGAAGCCTTGTATCTTATTCAGAACTGACCTCCTATGAATATGTTCCATCTCTAGGTACATCAAGTGGACAGAGCAAACCTTCCCCCAAGGTGGAAAGGAGAGTAATCTCGCAGCAATATTGGAAAGGGCAGTGAAAGCACTCAATGAACAGCAGCGATACTACAAAGATCCCCGCTATCTTAATCTCTGGCTCAAGTTTGTGAGTGTTTTGTGAATATGTCTTGGGTGCTGCTTTTTCTTGGTACATGCCATGTCATTTGCACACAGTTAAGCTGATTTTTGTGACAACAGAGTCACAGAATATGGTGTACAACTAGTGCAATATTAGAAGTATCTCTCTGCAAACATGTTGCCTACTGTTGAATTCCACTTCTCATTTTCAACAAAATCTTCAGAACTTTTTTAAGATCATTCAGTTTGGACAGCTACAAACTCCATAAGTTTTGTTTTGGAAAAGCTAGTTTGAATAAGTAGAGCTTGATTATTTATTTAAGGTAAAATAAAGTGATTTAAAGACGCGTTTTAGGTGTTATATCTATCCTACCAGTTTTTTTAACTTCGAACTGTCTTGTATCCACTTCCTGTGTTTTAAGCAAAACTAAGCTGAGTGTGTTCTGGTCTTGCCCTGCCTCTCCATTGCTATAGTTGTTGTTGTTGTTCTCATCTTCTTAAAGCAAACCTTCTCCAGGTTTAGGTTCCTGAGCTGATTTACCAGTTCCAAAAACTGATAAGAAATATGTTATACTTTATCTAAAGCTAAAATAACTATTCCCATGAATACTAATATGACATATTTTTTTTTAATCTAAGATAATTCAATGATTGAACTAAGAAATGACTGACTTTGAGTATGTAGGCTAGAATTAAGGGATTGGTAATAATATTGATAAATATATACACGCAGTCAGAGGTTTCTCTTGTTATTGTTCTTCTCCTATTGAACTCCTTTTCTTTATCTTGTGTGCTGTGACATGATACATTGTGTGTCCTGGCCTTACAGCTGCTCCTGTAAGACTTGTATTGAAATCAATGTGGTCTTGCTGGAGGCACCAAAACACAGATGTTGACTTGGAATCCTTTGCTGTCCAATGCAATTACTGAAATACTTGGTTGTTTCAGGGAAATTATTGTAACGAGCCCTTGGATCTGTACAGTTACCTGCGTAGCCAGGAGATTGGCACAACATTGGCACCGCTATATATCACATGGGCAGAAGTACTTGAGGCTAGAGGAAGTTTTAAGAAAGCAGATCTGATATTCCAGGAAGGTCTTCAGCGCAAGGCTGAGCCTTTGGACAAACTCCAGTCCCATCACAGGTAAGCTTACAGCTAAAGGGAAGAACTTACGTGCTTCAGTGGATACCTGGTACAGTGAAGTTTATGCTGACTTCTCCAATATTTTTCTCAGGCAGTTTCAGACACGTGTTTCTCGGCAGACACTACTGGGGCTTGAGGAAACTCCTGATGAAAAAGATATGGGTCTTCTGGGAGCTGCAGAACCTCAGAGAAGCTCTTTGGCAGATCTAAAAGGCAGGGGGAAGAAAACAGTGAGAGTCTCAATTAGTCGTGTA